AGACAGACAGACAGATATACAGACAGACAGACAGACAGACAGACAGGCAGACAGATAGATAGATAGATAGATAGACAGACAGACAGACAGATAGACAGACAGACAGATATACAGACAGACAGACAGACATAGAGCTATAAATAAATCCTGAGCTGCACTCCACACCAAAAGGTGGCGTCATTTCTGTGTTTATCCAAAAGCGCCAGGACGCAGCAGAAGAAGAAGGAATAGGAAGTGTGTTTATTATGTGTTGCTCGTGACGCGTTACTTGTCGTTACTTGTCGTTACTTCGGAGCCAACATGTCGGCCACAGAGGACGATACTGAACTCAGAGACCTGCTGCTTCACAACCTGGACAACAGCGGAGTCCTCAACAAGATCAAGGTCCTCTCTCACTTCCGCTCTCTGTTATACTGCTAGCCCTGCTAGGCTAACGATAGCTTAGGCGTTAGCAGCCAAGTTGACTATTCACCTGTCTGTGTTGAACTGTGTTCAACTTACACTCCAGAGCTTTAAGTAAGATTCAGGTGAAAGGATCTATTGGAAGAAATTTAATGTAGAATAATCTTTATGATGTTTTCACTAGTACGTTTCATCTAAACTGTATGAATTGTAGCATTCTTTACCCCGGAAAATGTCCTTTATATTTAAATACTTTATATTTACATTGAGGGGGTCCTCTGTACGGAGGCCGCCATGTTTTTTACATTAGTCCAGACTGGACAAACTAAACACCTTTTGAGTTTTTATGACAAATAAAGGCTACCACAGGTTCTTTTGCATGATTGGAAGGAGAGGGTGAGATGAGGGTTGTTCAGCTGCAACATGACTTTTCAACACTAGGTATCACAAACTTCTACACACTGTACCTTTAACTGTGTTAGGGTTAGTCAGAGTCGTGTAGTCAGGTTAGGGTTAGGATTACTCTACGTTGTGATGCTGAGGTAGGGTTAGTTAATGTTGTGTTGTTGGGTTAGGGTTAGTTAACGTGTTGGATTATGATTACCCTACGTTATGATGTTGGGTTATGGTTAGTTAATGTTGTACTGGGTTAGGGTTACTCAATGTTGTGTTGCTGGGATAGGGTTAGTTAATGTTGTATTGTTTGGGGTGGAGTTAGTTAATGTTGCGTTGTTGGGTTAGGGTTAGTTATCGTGTTGGATTATGATTACCCTACGTTATGATGTTGGGTTAGGGTTAGTTATCGTTGAGCAGCGTTAGGATTACTCTGTTGTGTTGTTGGGGTAGAGTTGAAACATGACACTTCACCACTAGATGTCACTAAATTCTACACACTGAACATTTAACATGGTATTAGGTAAGGGTTGATTAACGTAGGGTTGGGTTTAGCTATTGTAGGACTAGTTAACGTGTTAGGGTCGGGGTTATAGGTTACAGTTAACAGGTTTGATTTTAAAAAACAAGAGTGAAAAGAAAACATCCCATGTTTGGGAACCAACCCTAACTAATAATAAAAAAAAAACTACATGTCACAGTAAAAACACAACATTTTATTGATCGAGCCTGATCAATAACTAATCAGCTGAATTATATGTTAAAATCAATTATTTCTAAGATGATGATTACTGAAATAAACCTTATTTATTCAATGTAAAATAAAAAATACAAATCTGATAAATAATCAAATCAGCTGATTTTTTTGGACCAAATTTGACAGAGAAACTGATCAGGAATTCAAAAAATAGTAGATTTTTTAAACAATTGATATATTAGTTATTGACTATGTTTAGCTATTGATTATGCTATGTTATGTTTAGTCATTGGTGTGTGAGTATTGATTAATTATTGAACAATGATTTGTTGGCTATGTTTAGTTATAGATTCAAGAAGGAAGAGAGAGAAGGAAGCTCTAATTTGACGTGTGTGTGGGTGTGTTTTCTTCAGGCTGAAATGAGGGCGGCTGTGTTTCTTGCCCTGGAGGAGCAGGACAAACTGGAGGTGAGGGTTCATGTTCAAGTTTCAACATCCGAGGTGAAAGGTCAGAGGTCATTGACTCTTGTTTTATCTACAGAATAAAACGTCTCTGATCAATGAAAACCTGAAGAAATGTCTCAACACCAGAGACGGTGAGTGACGGCAGCTGCTTTCATTGTGTGTGTGTGTGTGTGTGTGTGTGTGTGTTGATAATTCCAGTTTCAGATATCTACAGTTTAATTCTGATTTGTCAAAATTCAATGTATCTTTAATGTACCTCAATTAAAGATACCTTAAATAAGTTTGAACTAGTCAGGATGGGGTCATGATATCCACAAGTGCAGCTCAAAAGAAAAGACAAGAAGCTCATGGGCTCCGCTCTTGATTCCGTTCTTTCCGCAGGTCGTCTTGTCGCCAGTCTTATTGTGGACTTCTTGCAGGTCTTCAACCTGGACTTCTCTCTCGCCGTGTTTCAGCCAGAGATCAGCTTGGTGAGTTTGACCTCTGACCCCAGTCTGACTCACAGCTGTGAGTCGTATATGACGGTTTGTACTTAGACTTTTTGTATGAACACAGACATGTTTACAAGTGTCTGTCAACTCGTCTTTGCCTGAAGTTTAAATAAAGTTTGTGTCATGCTGTGTCATGCTGTGTCATGTGTTGTGTCATTTCGTGTTTTTTGTCTACAGATGAATGGTGTGGACAGTCGGGACCTGGTCTGCAGAGATCTGGGTCTGTCAGAGTGTGAGGTGAACAGGAAGTGTCCTCTGCTGCTGGAGCTGGTCAGTAGAGGGCGACGCAGAGACAAACAGAGTGTTTGTTCGGAGGTGAGCGGACGTCAAAACAGATGAGTCATGAGTTCCGATGATATGTGTGTAAATGAACGGTACAAAAATCACCCAATAGAATTTCCCTGCGACGCAGCCCCAGAGGTTAGAACTTAACATCACAGGACACTGATGACAGTTAAACGTCCAGTCAAACTTCTGATTAACCCGATTGGCCCTGATGTGTTTGTTTGATTTAATCAAGAGATTATGAGACACGTATTTAAACACAATAAAAAGACACACACACACACTCCTGCAGATTATGAGGCGACACATGTTTTGGACTTCATTGTTGCAGAAGAAGCAACGCTCCATTTATCCATG